CATCTGTAAACCTAAAAATGTACAGCCAATTTTGAAAGAGATGTACCCTAGCTCAGAAAAATGTTATTGAATAGGTTAATGCTGTTGTAATGAAATGCTTCTTCTAATTAAAAAAAAAATACTAGCCATGTGGTCAATCCAGGTTAGTGAACCATGTTTTCATGTTCAACAACATGGTATCAAAAATGTTTAAAGTTCTACAAAATTAACTATAGCAAAAAAAGTTTCAATGGAGTTTATATTTTAAAATATTATATCTTGGGCAATGCAAATAAATAAATTCTCAACTAAAATATAGTTTCAGTGTAGTTTCAAATGCAGACATTATTCATATTAGAAAGCACAAACATTTCAGATGGACAAAATAATAGTCACTAGTAAGGTGTACCGATACCTTCAAAACCTGATCAGTGTTCCAAACATCATAAAAGAAAGTTCATTTCCATATTTAAAATTTAAGAATGCTTCATTTTATGCTCTTATTCTATCTTGGCCTTAAATAATATATAATTTTTAATTTTATAGATGCCAAAATCAAAAGATGCTACCTTGAAATTCCTTTAAATGGGAACTAAACACAGAAAACTAAAATAAATTCTGTACAAATGTCCCCTAGTCATGATGTCCAAAATCATTCTTAGTTTGTGTTCTCTTTCTAATAGTCAACAGTGCAGGGGCTTCATGAGTTATTTCACAATGAAATTATTTTTGAAGGCAGTTAGCTTTTTACTTACACATTCTGTTGCTGTGATAGTTAATGATCTTGAGATGGCAGATTTTCCTTCATTAAAGCTTACTGAAACTTCAAGAGTTCTAAAAGAAAAGTGAAAAAAACACTAATTAAAAGTTAAATAGATGGGCTGGAGAAATGGCTCAGTAGTTAAGAGCATTGGCTGCTCTTGCAGAGGACCTAGGTTTGATTCCCAGCACCCACATGGTGGCTAACAACCATCTGTAACTCCAGTTCCAGGGGAATCCAACACCCTCTTCTGACCTCCATGGGCATTGCATAATAGGAGTGCACTTATACACATACAGATAAACACTCATACAGATAACATAAAACATAATAAATATTTTTAAACTAAAAAACTATTACTTAGAAGATTTTGAAGAAAAGTTTTCTTTTCTTATATAATCCAAAGATGGACAGAAAATACCCTTGAAAAGTAACGGTCAGTGCTGTGTGTGTGTGTGTGTGTGTGTGTGTGTGTGTGTGTGTGTGTTAAATTTTTCATACATATACTCTATTTACCCATTTCCATTT